TTTAGGGTTTGATGTTTGGATTTCAAGATGAATGAAATCCAAACATTGATATCCACACATTTGTTGGCGAGGAATTCAGCTCAACATTGCATATGTTTTTTTGGCGAGGACCTCAGCGAGGTCCTCTCCAAACAATCAGCCGTACAACAGGATTATGGCGAGGAAAAAAATGTTTGGTGAGATTTATGGAGAGGACCTCCTAGAGGTCCTCGCCAAACGCCCAAAGTGAATCCCTCGCCAAACTCACCATTTGGCCAATTCCTCGCCATGCGCCAACACGCAATTCCTCGCCATAAGACCTCCCCCCTCCTACCTCCCACGCTTTCTGTTCAAACTTGTGGCTCCTAAATCTGATACCTTTATAAAGGACATATGCAGTGACCAACAACAGATTGGGTTTTGCCCCAGCCTCTCTGAATCTGCTTGCTGCAAGGACTCGGGCAATCCCCATAACTTCTGCCATGGAAATGCCTTCCTTCCCGCGCCAAAAGGCAGAGCCGCTGAAGGACCAACACAGCACTGAAGTCTCAAAAGTTTCCCCCCTTCACTGGAGGCCATACCTGGCTGGGTGGAGACTGACGCCCGCCACCAATCAAAAAGGACAAACAAGAAACCATGTGCCCCAAATCATCAAGGACCAGGTACGTTGATCCGGCAAAATTCTGAGATGAAGTCGTCCTTGTCAGGTGCATCCAAGAGCCCTGCATCATGAGCAAGCTTGGCGGCCAGCTCCATCAGAATCTCCGGCTGCTTGAAAGCTCTTTCAGCAATGCTCTGGAAGGTACCGCCGAAGGTGACAGGAAACGGGAATAGCCCATCAGTTGGGGTGAGCAAACCCCTTGCCTGGGTGTGGACTCGTTGTCGTGCCTCAACTCATACATCGATTCCAGAATGCTCATGCAATCCTGCTGGAGTTTTGGCACCTCCCCCATTGAAGTCGCAACAGCGGTGACGCCCGAACCTGATGAAATCTCCGCAGCTCCTGCTGCGCCCAATCGTGCTTTCTTCCGGCGAGGCGCCATGATTGGAAAAGGCTTGAAGGGGCTTGAAGCAGGCTGAGACCCTCTGAGCCCCTATAATAAAGAATCCCTCATTCCCTAGAGAAACTGAATGAACAGACTCAGACTGGAGGCGTTGTCCATTTTTGACTCTGAGACAACCCTGTAGAAGCCGATCCCCTGGCTACATATCAAATCTGAGACAACCCTGTCCGCGACCTCCTTGCTCCGGCTTTCGTGTTTCAAACAACATATTCATGTTCCAATGAGTATACATTAACGTTAGAACCTAGGCGTGCAAACAAAGAAGGCAAGCGGACCTGCAAAATCCTGAGTGGCTGAAGGAAAAGCCACTTTGGCATACTCACTCAGAAACTCTTGTAGGCACCAAGGTAGCTGGCCAGTGCAGCCACCAGAAACGCCGAGCACACTGGAGCGCTGAACCTTGTTCTATCTACTAGTCAGGCCTATTTTCACACCTCCCACATCCCCGGGTCGAAAAAAGCTATTTAGTAGAATACTGCAAATGTAAACAACCCAGGTTGGAAACGAAACCCGGCAACAATGATGTTGAGTAAAAAGCAAGGCACGCATTGCCGGCCATGTTACTCAACTGCGCTTCCGTCAAGGAGTCCATGCAATACTTGGAGTGCTCTGCAAGTCCCACTCCTTGAAGCAGCATCTTCTCCTCCGTAACCCAAAACTGATGAGGCGTGCAAAAAGGCCAAATCCGGCAACAAGCTGAAAGAAAAGTAAGGCTTGAAACAGTGGCTCAGTTTCTTGAACATGACAAATGTTTTTACCATGGTACGCAATCTGAGAAATGAAGCACTGTCTGGCTATTTGAGCAAATCTTCCAACCCCAGTCCTTGGAGCTAAGAATGCGCCATGTCTCCATCCCAGTCACCACATACTTCCCACTCGGGAGAAGGCATGGCAGCAAAGCGGGCGACGACTTGTTCCATGTTGCGCGAGCAAAATTCTGGTCCTCAGCCCAAGACCACACACCGTCAAACATCATCACCAAAAAATGGAGACTCAAAAGAACAGTAGTGAGTATGGCAATTTTCCACTTGGTTTGGGGCTCCGTTTCGGGGGCGAAGGATTCACGACTAATTAGATTGCCATGTATGTAGCGCACCAAAAACGGAGCCCCCAAAACAGATACCTTCGCCCCCGAAACGGAGCCCCAACCCAAGTGGAAAGTTATCAAGTGAGTAGGTCAAAGTGTTTTGTTTTTGCAGGGATATCTTGAGCCTCTGCTGTGTGAGAACGCAAAGTTAACAAAACTTCACTGCCCAATCCCAAGCGCCACTTGGATAAAGAACGTCGCCACGAACGGCGTCCATCCCGCGCGCTGCATCTCTGTCACGGCAACTGACAAGATTGCAAGTTCACGCTCGGTGATCTCAAGGTTCATGCGACGAATCTTCTCCTTGTTGTTCTCCACATCCGCCTCGGGTTCCAATGAATTGCAGGAAAGGGTTTTGGAACATTCCATCAAATATTGCATGTCATGATGCCCGTCAAGAACCATCTAGAAATGGGCCACCCTTAAGAACTTCTGAATCTGGGACCTTCGATGTTGAAACAAGCCCGAAACGGCCCCCAAACGGATGCCAATACATAAACTCAGAAAAGATTTCTTTGCGCCTAAACTGGAATGAAGCCTGAGCCACAATGCCAAGTTTCCCAGCGTACTCCTTAAAGGTGTCGCGCCACTTCAGTGTGGACTCATCTCGCTGCTTGCGTTTCTGCTGCCCGCGCGCTTTGCAAGCAGCATTGGGAGGGTGAGGATCAAGAAGAAACATGTCGATGGGCAGGGGCCGACAAAGGAACTTGTGCACAATGTCCAATGGGGCGTAGTCCTTGTACCTTGAGGGTTCCCCATCCCACCATGAATAAACTTAACCTGACTTTCCGGGATCATAGAACTTGCAAAGCCTTGCAAAAGAAAAATGTATTTGAATACTTTACCAAAAAAACTTGTCCAGGTAGAACTTCATGTAGATGACCCACACTCTGGTGCGATTGTGCGCAAGACCATACTGTGCAGAATTTGTAACCTCAAACCAATGGTTGTACCCCCTGGCTGACATAGCCTTGTTCTGGATGTCCAAAGGACATTCATCTCTGAACTGGCGGCGTCGACTTGCCAAGCTTCTGACATTCTCCAGAACGATGATGGAAGGTCTGGCGTAGTCCACGTACTGGACCAGGCTGTGGTAGCCAGAACCCGTCACTGAACTGCGATCGCGAAAGGAAGCGGGGTTGCTGTTCTGGGATGAAATCGATTTGCATGGGTATCCAATCTGGATCACGTCCACCTTGCGGGGTTTCCAAACCGAAAGCGCAAAAGGGTTGGTCGAAAGGCAAGTTTATTAGGCAAACGGTGGAAAACAACAATTTCACTGCCCCTGACCTTGGGCACGTCAACGGTGCACTGCGTCCGGACATCATACGCCTGGCCAGACCCTAAATCCTCCATGTTGTCAAACAAGTAGGGCGACGGGTGGGCCTTGAGGAGGTACTTCTGCTTCGTAGTGTTGCTCTCACACATGAACTTCACGGATAACTGGCAGGGACCAGACAACCAGCATTCAAAAACAAATAAAACAAACTACATTCGATTCATAACACCTGTTGGATTCAACATTGGTCCCTTCCAAAAAAGTGGCCCAACAAGTTTCACGTGAAACTCTCGGCAACGATTCAAAGGAAAACCTCTAGTCACGATCATCATCGAGGACGATCGCATCTTCCGGAACATCGTCATCAGATTCCTCAGCGCTGGCCACCAGCTGGAACACACGAAACCGGCCAGGCGGAGCCCAATCCCCTGCGACTGCCTCTGGCAAGTCGATGGGGTATCGATTGAGGTTTAAAAAAAGGATATTCCGAAGGTCGTGGCACTTGTGGGAGCTCATTCTGAACCCATCCAAGCAAGTAAGCCAAACCATCCCTGGTAATCATGCCCTTCTCACAACAATATGGAGCAACCGAAAGAATATTCTTTCTCACCTTCTCTGAGATCGGTCGCCGCGGATCAAGTCCCACAGGCTGCTGGAGCGAAGCCCTCAACTCGCAACACTTTGAAGCCGGCACAAGGCATATCACCCGCAATGGGTCGCACGTTGCCATGTATTTTTTGGCAATGAGTATGACATCAGCCGCGTGAGGAGGACTGCCACGAATCTCTTCCACTTGGCAGCTTCCAAATGAAGATGCATCCACATCGCCCCGTAGACAGAATCTCATCTGTCCGACTCCTCCTGAGGTTGACATGGTCTGTCTACAATGGGCTTGCCTGGCAACTCAACAATTTCCTTTTCAAAAAAAGAAGCAGCGCCCCAAACATTACAAAACATCCACACGCAGGAAGGTTAGATGCAACAACAATAATTGAAATATGGTCAAAGTTCGAAGCCCTTTCAAGCGAATGCCAAGTGCACCCACCCAACTCTTCCAATCCGCAACCTGGTCAAGCTTGCGGGCGTAGGACTCAACTTTCACCCGCCGTGATTGCTTCCGGATCTCGTCGGCTGCTGACTCGGGTTTGAAGGTGTCATCCATCAGCGCAACCACATCATCAGGCGTCGCAAACTCGTGGCGAGCTAGCATGGCTGCTTGCTGTGAAAAGATTTGGTCCAAATCCTCGTGACCTGAGGGGACCAAGTTCGCAAACCACGGAGGCCGCTCTGGCATTAGGTCGGAAGGCTAGGCTGTCCAACGTGAGTTCCAACCTTTGACAGTCTAAGTAAAGATTGCCGACGCGGCACCTCGTTTTCTAGTGTTTTAAGATTTTAAGGCAAAGGAACCACATATCAATAAACAACATTCACCTGTTGCAAACTGTGTTGCTGTGCCCTACCCGTAGGTAGGACGCAGTCGCCCAGCGAAAGCACCCTAAAGTGACAAGTAGCGTCACCATTGCAGCCACGTATTGGTTTTTGCCTTCTCTGCACGTGTTGTCTTGTTGCAAGTTGATGCCGTGGGGTAAACAGCCGTGGCGGTTCAGCGTGTCCTGGATGCAGCGGGCAAGGATTTCACATTGGGTGGCGCTGTTTTTTTCAAGTCTTCGTTGGCTATGTTGAAGGTCAAAGAACTTCCGTGCGCCCAGCAACCAGCGACGTGAAGCCGGGGCCGGAAGAGCTTTTGCGCTGACTTGGCCTGTCTCTGGCGAAAGCGGGGTACGCAAAACTTTGCCTGGTCCATCCCGTCGATGGCCACGCAAAAGCAGCTAGATGCGACGGCCAATGCTTCAGCTGTCCTGAAACAGGTTGTTGGCGTGTGGTTTGTTGGTTTTTGTATGTCACTCGTGGGAAAGTTAACCCTGAACAAAATACTTTTTGTGACTGTCTCAAAGGAACCGAATTCCCTCCATCAAGAGCGTGGCAAAGAAGGTGTGAGCCAGGGATCTAAAGCTCCAATAAATTTGCCTGTCCAGCCATTGCGCTAAAACATGTCGGTGGTGCTCCTGTCGAGCTTCCTCCTTCTGCTGTGTTGTTCTGGCCCGAGTCATGTTCTGACGCAGGGCAAAACATGTATCACACTGGCCGTGTTCGTTGACCTTCCGGAAGCGGAGGTGGCCGTTTCGGATTCCAGGCTTGAGGATTTTGTTAGCCACGCGCAAGAACGTTGAGTACGACGCATGCTGCATTTGGCGGGACTCACAGAATGCGAGGTAAGTGTAGTACAACTCCGTCCTTGTGGCATGAGGAAGCGATCTGACGGGACCTTTAAAGGTTCCTGGCCCCACCAAGTGCACATCTGCGTCCGTCCAAGTTGTTTGCAGCATGCGGCTCATTGAGTTGAGCACCCTCTCAATGTCATCTGCTTGTTCTTCCTTTTCACTGGGAAAAGGGCTTTCAACTGCTCTTTCGCTTCGCAAAGAAAAGTTGTTGGGCATGACTTCCGCTTCTGAATTGTAAAGGTACCAGAGGTACATCACAACTCCTTGCCACAAGTTCTCAACACCTCGCAGTGTGAATCCAAATTGTGGGTGGCGAGGCAGAGCTTCTCGCGCATTGTTTGTCAGGGCTGGATGCCCGGACCGAATCTTTGCTAATGTTGACTGTCCAACCCCCAAAAGTTTTGCAAACGCGCGCTTGCAGACTTCTTTGCCCAGAAAATGCGCAGGCTGCGGATCCCGCCGTGACCGTGGCCGCTTGGCCTGCGGTTTGGGACATCTTCGCGGCCTTTTGGAAGCAGGTTCACAATCTGAGGCATAGTGCGTGCTGCTGGCGTTGGATTGACAATCTGACAAGCCGTCATTGTCCAAGTCAGAAGCTTCGAACTTTTCCGAGCTAGTTGAAAAGAATGTTTCTCCATCACTACCATCTTGAATGGCCAACAGTCGCCCCACGTCAAGGAGTCTGTCCACAGGACAATTGAAGGCAGTCGCTAGCCAAACCTCCTTGAAAGCTGCTACCAAAGAAGAAACACTTATATTATATTGATCAAAAGTGCTGGAAAACACATCGAAAATAACCTTCAAGCAAAACATTTGCTGCTTACAGGCAAAAGCTCTTGCTTCTCTCTGGGCAATGATCTGAATTCAGCTCGAGCCTGTTCGACCTCATCGACTTGGCCCGCAAATTGCTGGTAACAAACTTGTCGGAGGCAAACGCAAACAGCACGCACCAGCTGCTTCGCTGCAGAAATCCGCTTAGGAGCCATTGCTTCGCAATGTGCTTTCAGCAGAATGCGATTGTCACTGTTTGTTGTATTTTTGATTTTAGTGTGTTGCATGGCTTCATTTGGGTTCAAGTTTTCTCAAACAACTTGCCCATGTTCAAACCTGTTTTATTCTTGTTTGGATGTTTTATACATGCCCGCGTGTTTTCTAGTCTTGTTCTTGTTGCAAAAATGTGCTGTTTTCCCCAAACATGTCATGATGATAGACGCCTTGCTGGTCGTCTGACAGATGAACATTGAAATGGAAACTTGGGCCCTAAGTCTATTGAAATCATGGCCCTTACCCCCGCACCCCCCTCAAACAAAACCAGGTTGGAGGACCCGTGCCACATAAACACAGTGTATAAAAACTGACTGACCTCCCCCCCTCCGCAGACTCTTGCCTTGGGACACTCGTCGGCCGGATCCT